ATCAGTGGGGTTTGCCTTTGACCTTTGAAGAAGTTAGTAGAGCCCGGCAGGAGTGTGTTGTGTGCTCCAAAAGGGACTTACACTGAGTTCCATAGCAAAATGGGGCAATAGTTCAGGGGCCTATACTCCTTGTCAGGTGGCAGATAGACTATATAGGGCCTCTACCTGTGTCAGAAAGATATCGGTATGCTGTGACTTGTGTGGACACCACTACTGGACTTCTGGTTGCTTTTCCTACCCATTGTGCAGACCAGCAGATGACCAAAAGAGGCCTGGGGCATCTCTTTGCTGCCTATGGCTGACCACAGGTAATTAAGGGTGATCAGGGCACTCATTTTACTGGACATACACTGCAAGAATGGGTGCAACATCTGGGAATCAAATGGAAGTTTTATGTGCCTTACAATCTTACCACAGCAGGCATGATAGAGAGGCACAATGACTTGTTAAAATCTGAACTAAAGTCAAATAACAGTAATCTGTGGGGATGGTCAGTTTGTGGACTGTGCTACGGCATTTGAACAAGAGCAGCAGTTCCAGCCATTAAGACCAAAGAGGCAGAAGTCAGAGACAGAGCCATGTAAGGGAGCCTGGAGCCCCATAGACATGTTAACACATATGGCTGCCTCCCCTATACAACTGCAAGTACAAACCAAGGAAGAATCACTGAAGTTGAGGTTCGGACACCAGAATAATATCTTGCTGCCAACACCAACTGCACTGAACCCCAGAGACTCCATTGAGTGGATGTGGCCTTGGACCTTTTGACACATGGACCAACGATGGCTGGCTCTCCTGGCACCTTGGGGACAAGGCCTGGAAGCTGGCCTCCTGTGTATTCCTGGAATAACAGCAGAGTGGCCACCAAAGGTCACAGTAGTATATCCTGAACAGTCAGAAGGTAGGAGCATCTTACTGGGGAGTTTTGTTTTATCATTATGACCGGTGCATGCACCTCCAGTAGCACTATATATAGACCCTTCAGTAACCCCCATGGGGAAAGGAGTGAAAGTATGGTATGCTAGACCTGGAAGGGACCCCCCTTCCTGCTACAGTCCTATCACAGGACCACTCTCTTGTATGCACCCTACCTGATGGACAAGATTTGCCTACGTTAGTGTCATTAGAACATGTGTCTTATTGCCCCTAAAGTCTTTGTGGATTGGGAACTTCCTCTGGCTTGAGGATTATTAAAATTTTTTGTTATTAGGAACCTCCTCTGGCTTGAGGTTTATTATAATTTTTGTTACCTGTATCAAAATTTTGTTGTATCTTTATTTTTATTATCTCTAAGTTGTTATCCTCTGTTGCTATTGTGGAATCTGGTTACAGTGCTCCAGCTGTCTTGCACAGGGACCATTGTGGAAGATTGAAAGTGTGTAGACTGTAAGGCGAGAATCCTGGAGGGGTGGAGTGTGGGGAAGTTGGGGTTCCTATGGCCTGGATCCTCACTGAACTTAAACCACCTGATGATATAACTGGCCTGTTGCTCGGCTACCACTTCCCAACCTTTAGGCAATAAGCTATTATTGCGCTATATAGAGAGCTGGCTCAGTGCTCCCGGTGGAGGCAGAGACATTAGTGCTCGACCTACTGGAGGGAGAACAAGCCGGGTAATAAACCCTTTCACCTCAAAGAACGTTTTGCTGTCAATTTCTTTGGTCACATTGAATTCATAGCGAACTTGCCTAGGGCTGAAACCCATTGGCAAGACAGTATTGGAATCAGCAATAATTTTTAAAAAAATCAAAGCTGGAATTTGTTTTTCCATCAAGATTTTATCATTAGCATGAAACTCAGATGTTAAGTTTGGGAGCCAAGAAAGGCGGGATTGTGTTGTCCACATATGGCAGCCCAGCCTCCTCCCTCCCTCATGCCCTTCTCACAGGGCAATGTCGGCTCTGTCTCATCCATAGGTGGGGTCCGTGTCCCATTTTCTCAAACACGGTGCATGACTGGCAGGGCAGAAGGGATACCATCTAACTTCTAAAGCAAAACATACAAAGAGGTAGAGCTTCTGCTGGAATCCTTTTCTTGGATTTGTGTCTTAGGATCTCTGAGCCAACACATAAAAGCACAGCCAGCTTGACGCCACTACGCCGGAGAGACCACATGGGAGGCTCCATGGAGATAGTAGTCCCTGAGGAGCCCAGCTGTTCTAGCCCCGAGCTGTTTGTGTCTTCTTCCCACCACCAACCTCCAGACGTGAGAATGCCAGTCTTCCAGCCAGCCCTGGCTGATGCCAAGTGCAACAGAGGCCAGCTGTCCTCATGGAGCCCTGCCCGAACTGCAAAGTAGTGAGCAAAATCGGAAGTGTTATCTTAAGCCAGTAAGTTTTCTAGTGGTGTGTGATGCATCATTAGATAACCAGAACATCAGGATTTGGAGAAAATGTTATTACAGTGAAATGCCAAGTGTAAGCTAATATACCCATAGCAGGGTTGGTGGATCAGCAAATTAATTAACTGTAATTTATAACATTAGGATCTGTTGGTTAAAGCAGAAAACCACCTTGTCTTGATCAGAGCTGTTGACACATGGAAGTGTTGGTTAATAGGTTCCTGAAGACTTCTGAAACTAACCAGAGTCTACTGTCCTGATTTCTTAACTATGAGAGGTGAATAGAGTAAGGCAAAGGATGTAGAGTTCTCCCCATTGTCTACTTCTCATGATTCTCTGGGTCGGCAGTCAGGATAGGGTTGGCCGGGTAAGTCTTCTGCTTCATGTGGCTTGGTAGGGGTCCCTCTTTAGCTGCATTCAGGTTGTGGCTGGGCTGAGCTGCAAGGTCTAAGAAGGCTTCTCTTGTGTGTCTGCTGCTCTTCCACGTGGCTTCCCATTCATGTGCTGTCTCATCACTCATGATCTAGCTCAAGCTTTTTTAAAGCACTGAGGTCCGAAGGTGTCACTTCCAACACATCCCGTTAGTTCAATGAAGTCAGAAACCGAGTCAAGGAGAGAGAGAAGAGACCACCTCTTGATGGATGGCATGTCATGCACATCCATGATGGGAAGGCCATTTTGGAGACAAATGGGAAGAGTAATTCGCTCTGAAGAAGGAGAGAGGTTCTAGTCTTATGTCTGCCACTAACTAGCTGAGTGGTGTTGGCCAAGTTACCTGTTAAGGCATACCTGTTTGCTCATGTGCCAGGTATGGAGAAGGGGCCATGAGCACCAAGATCCTGTATAGTCCCAAAAACTTGCCTTTAATCAAAGCAGAACTTACGTTACCCTAGAAGGTGGGGGCAGAAGGGGATGGACACAGAAACACAATTATTGAATTATCCAATTGTTCTCTTCCAGCCTGTTGCTAGCCTGTGATTAATCTTTAGGTGTGGATTGGCTAGCTGTACTTGTGACATCTCCCTAACCGATCACCATAGGATTTCAACTTCTGAGGCCTATTGTTAGTACAGAATTGTCACTACTCCTGTTCTCCCTTCTGTCTTCTTGTACTCTCTACTGAAGACTATTGACAGAGGTTGTAAGGAGGATGGGGGAAGGATTAAGGAACAATGGGAACTGGGTAACAAAAAACCTTTACTGATCTGAAATCTTAAATTCTGGATCTTTTTTCACACCCTCTCCCCCAAAGATTTTAGAATTCACTGACTCCAATTGATTTTAATCACATCTTTCTTCATAACACTTGCAAGAATATCTTCCCTGCATTTGGATTGGTATGGCCTAAACTGAAATTTTGGCAGAATGGAAGTGCTGGAAATAGGGTGTGGGGGGAGAGACAGTGTCGGGTATTGAGGAAAGGAGAATATGAAGATCCTGGTTAGGGAAGAAAACAGCAAGAGCTTAGAGAAAGAATAAAGACAAAAGAAACAGAGTGAGTGGCAGATGGACTGATTCTGTGTTTCTAATACTAAATGGTAAGCTATGTTCCTGAACATGTGGATTTGTATATTGCTTATGGTGACCAAAATACATTACTGCTTCCTCATCTGAGGAGTTCTGAGAGTTCTGGCAATCAAGCAGGAAGGACATAGGGAGGGGTTGATAGTTTAGTGCCAGAAAGATAATCTGGGATCCAGTAGATCTCAGTGCACATTGTTTTAGTGTCCCCACCCTGCCCCCAAATTGAAAACCAAAGACTACGGTAAAGGAGTATGATACACAGTACTCTGCTTGAAATCAGGATGCTGTTGCTGAAATTCTAGTAACAAGAAAATGAAATCGGGGGGGCAGAGTAGCAGATCTGGAGCTATTTCCTCATGGCATTTGTACCTAGCTATCAACCTAAAAAACTATCCAGGGGACCTCACAGTCAAGCACAATTATATGTGTCAAGTATGACAAATGGGGGACATAGTTCAGTGAAGGTCTGTATCAGGAATAACCCATTTTAACAGAGGCCATCATAACAGCTTCTAAACAGTGTTAAAAGCAGTAACAAAAAAACGCCGTTTTCAAATGACACGTGGCTTAATGGAGGGACCTGTGGCATAATACATAAGTGACATAAGGTACATATTTTGGGCTTTGAATATAATAGCAAAGCAGTCCAGATACAGCCTCATCTTTTCTTCATAAAACCATCCACAGGAAAGCTGCTCAGATACCTGTGCTAGGGTTAAGTTAATGTACGAAGACTAAGTGTCACTAAAATTCTGAGCGTTCCTGGGGGCTAGCCTCCAGGGTAGGACACTGGCCAGGTGGGTGCCCTCTGATGAGATGATCTCTCTGAGCCTGTTACTCCTCCTGGAAGATGAGCGACCTGGCGCACAGCAGTGCTCAAGAGAGGAGCATTACTGTAGCACGTGCAGCTGCTTGGAAGTAATTGTTGATGTTCCTAACAGGCTGGAGTTGTAGAGGTTCAGGTGATTTGCATTTGACCACCGAGTGGGAAAATCTGGAGCAGTTCTGTCTGACTTCCCCCCGGACAACGCCAAATGGGCAAGGTACGGCGCCCGTGACACCCTCTTCCATCCTTTACAGGTAAAACTACTCCGCCACGCTGCGACCCCCGCCACAAGCCCTGCTCGCGAACGCGCACGCGCACACGCGCACAGCACGCGCCAAAGCAGGCTCAGCGGCCCGGCGAGGAGGTGCACGCGGGAGCCGGGAGCCTGAGCTCCCACGACGGGGCGGAGCACCGAGGGGGCGTGACGAGTGCGAGGCTCTGCTATGCCATTGGCGGCGGCCGGGCCATGTGGAAGCTCACGTGAGCCGTCCGCCCACGGGCCGTCGGGCGCGCAGGCGCGCAGCGGAGCTTGGGAGAGGGCTGAGGAGGGAGTGCCTGGAAACCGGCGACGGATGCCTGGCGTCGTGCCCTGCAGCTGGCGGCGGGTGGGGCCGCCGGGCAGCCGCTGCTTTCCCCTGTCGAGAAGGCTGCGGACAAGAAAACGATCCGGGAGGGGAGCGCCCCGGCCTGGGCTCCCTCCCGCGAAAGTCCGCGGGATCCTAGGGCCCGGTTAACCAGGCAGAGGCTCTGGGCGATATTACAGACGGACGTTGAGAAAAGCCAAGATCAGCCTTCGAGGTCTCTCTCTGTGCCCTGTCGCCTCTGTGACCTCTGGCAACTCATTTAGCCCGGTCCTCAGTTTCCCTACTCTTCTATAGGGACTGACCAAGAAGAAAAGATTTCACGTCACAATCACTACGTGCCTAGTGAGTATTTAAAAGCACCGAAGCCATGCCCTTGTCCTCAGGGAGTTGGGTGCCCAGTGCAGGCCCTGAGCAAAACAAAAATCCCACGGTGGTTTAGTGCCAGGTCTCTCGAGTGCCTGCCTCCTTCCCCTGCTCTCAGGCTTGGCCCCAGCTTGTGCCTCAGTTTCCTTGTCAAGGCCTAGAACATGTTTCAAAAGGTAATGAAAAAGTGTGGAGGGGGCTGGGCGTCGACCCTGGCACATACTAGGCTTGCAACACTAGCCTATAAGTTTGCGGCAGTGCGGAGGGCGTCTGTGTACAGTCGTTTCAGGGCAGCCAGGATGTCTGGGGGAGTGTGAACACGGTGTGTGAGCCGGCAATGCAGGCCTGCACAGCAGAGGTCGATTTCCACGATGGCGCCAGGGAGAAAGGAATGCAATTAATTAATTTGTTAAGCACACTCCTGTTTAATTATACCCTCCTTAGAAAAGGCTTTTCCCTCTTTACAAATCCCTCTGGGTGGTGGTGGTTTAGAAAAGCTAAAGGAAGCTTTTCATTGATTTTTCTGAATTGACTCTTATAGTTAGTCCTGCTGTGATGATCAAGAAAGAAAAGTGATTAATTTACATTTGGGGCAGTTATTGGTGTAGTGGAATAACTTGGGCAAAACCAGATGTTCTTCAGTCAGCTGTTACGGTGGCTTCATGTTTGAAAGCTTGAAAAATCTTCGTATTCTGTGCTGTATTACCTCTTTCTTTTTTTTGGCCTTAGTAATTACCTCTGTTCCATTGTCTCAAGGGTGGTCCTTAACAGCTGTTCTTTATTACTTTTTTGTAGCGATGTATTTTGACCTTAATTTCATCTTTTCCTACCGGTAACCACTTTTAAGATCCTGTTGCTACAAGAGTTCAGGGAAAATTCATTTGTAATATTATTTAGAAAGGGATGACCACACCCGGACTTTTAAGGAATGTTGAGTAAATCAAACTACTGTTCTTTCTGGAAAAAACCTGCAGCTGAATCTGGGATTAGGGATAAAGAAACCCAGCTGGATTTTGCCCCAGAGTGCCAGTGGTAGTTTCTGTTTATGGTCTGTTTATCATACACATACTTTGCCAGAATGTGCTAGTGTTTTGTCAGCCTGCCATGACTACACACAGTATGTGATGCCTTCCATCTCAAGTATGTACAAATGGCTGATTGATCCTCACCTCCTTATGTGAATGGCAGATGCTTGTTAAAGTCAGTGGTTTGCCCACACATAACTGCTTGGAAAATGTAGCCGTTTGATTGATGTTATCTGATTGAAAGCATATGAGACATAACGGAGCTTGACCTTTTCATTTATTTTCAATTTTTCATTTGAATATTTTGAACAGTTGTAGAGTCTACCTGCTAACGTTCCAGTTTCTCAAATTCGGCTTAAAAGAGTTGTCCTTGCTCTCATTTACTATTTCAGTTCAACATAAATTATTAATAGAGCCTAGTATGCTGAATAACTGCAATAATCATGATGAACATTTCTTTAGAATGTGTATCATTTATATTTACTATGATTTCATTTCAGCTATAAGACTTGGAATAAAATTATGTTCTTACACCTCAGGAGATTTGTGACATTGTTTTCTCTATTTTAAGACAGAATAATCTTGCCTAAAGGTTACACCTTTTAATTTTGATAGAAATCCTGGATATTTATAATGTTTCATTGATAAATAGTAGTTTCTTTTTAAACATTTTTGTTTCTTCTTTGTTTCAAGTGAAGTAACAATCTTACAATGTTAGTGTACCCTTTAACCAAAAGTGACCATTTCCTACTTTAATTAAGAAATGAAGAATTTCAGTTTAACACAAAAAATAATTAAGCATCTGCTTATAAAATTGTTATGGGATGAAAAGGGTTTTAAAACCAGTATTTTTGATTGTAGAAAACGAAAGGTAAATTTGTGTTTATCCTGTGCTTCATTAAAATTAAGAAAATTTTGAAAATGTAGGAAATTAGTAATAGGGATAAAAATAAGCCATTACACTTTGGGCACTATGGATAACTTAATGATACATATGTGTATAATGATATAGATGTATATGTACCATTGTTTGATTTACAAAATGCTTTCACTTTATCTCCTCATCAAATTATCCTATGTCATTTTGATAACCCTTCTAAGAAATGAAGAAAAATTTCAGAGGAGAGTAAGGGAATTGCCCAAAGTCTTTTGAGTCCAAATTAAATATAAAGACATAGATATGCTAAAAGTAAAAGGATAGGAAAAAAAACACCATGCAAAAAACACTAATGAAAAGAATTATGTAGCTATTTTAATACCAGACAAAGTAGACTTCAAAAAAAATATTCCCAGGAAGGAAGGAAGGCATTTCATAATGGATAAGGGGTCAATTCATCAAGAGCACATAACAAGCATAAATGTGAATGCCCCTAACACAAAAACTGAAAGAACTAAAAGGTGAACTAGATAAGTTCACAAGTTAGGTTGGAGATGCAAGTGTTCCTCCTCTGGTCATCCTACAACTAGCAGACAGAAAATTAATAGGAATGTAGAAAACTTAAATCGCCCTACCAACCAACCTGATTGAATTGACTTTTAGAGAATACTCCAGCCAACAGCAGAATACATACTATTTTTCAGTGTATATGGAAAATTTCCCTGGTTAGATCATATTCTGGGCCATCAAACAAGCCTCAACAAATTTAAAGAAACCATGTAAAGTAAATTCTCTGGGCATAGTAGGATAAAATGAGAAATAATTTTCAAATATTTAGAAATGAACACACTTCTAAATAACCCATGAGTCAAAGAGGAAGGCATTAAAGGGAATTGAAATCTATTTTGAATGGAGGGAAAATGCAACACATCAAAACGTATGGACTGAGCTATAGTAGTGCTTAGACATGTATAACATTAAATACTTACATTAAGAAAACAATGACCTCAATCAAAAGACCTCAATCAAAATCTTAGTTAAGAAATTAAAAAACAGAAGGGCAATCTAGACCCCAAAAAAGAAGAAAATAGGAAATAACAAAGATAAGAGCAGTAATAAAGTGGAAAACAAAAATAGAGAAAGTTACTGAAACCAAAAGCTATTATTTGAAAGATAAAATTGACAAACCTCTAACTAGGTTTCCTGGGAAAAAAGAGGATGAAAATGTCAATATCAAGAACAAAAAAGAGGACATCACCGTAGGTCCTGTAGGCATTAAAATACTAGGGAATATTATGAACAATTTTTAATGTCAGTAAATTTGATTGATAACTTAGATAAAGTGGACAAATTCTTTGAAAGAGTGACTACCAAAGCTTACTTAAGAAGTAATAGATAAGCTAAGAACTTTCCCACTGAAAAACTCTAGTGACTTCACTGGCCAATTTTACATGTATTTAAGGAAGAAGCAATACCAATTCTACACAAACTCTTCCAGAAAAAGAAAAGGAGAGAAGAACACTTACCACCTAATTTTGTGAGGCCATTAATAACACCTCATACTATTAGGCTAGCTACTATAGAAAAAAAAAAAAAAGAAAGAAAATGGTAAGTATTAGGATGTGGAGAAATTGGAACCCTTGTGCACTGTTTATGGGAATGTACAGTGATACAACTGCTATGGAAAATAGTGTGGTAATTTCTCAAACTTTAAAATTACCATGTGATCCAACAATTCCACTTCTAGATTTAGGCCCAAAAAAATCGAGAGTGGAGTATTAAAAGAGATATTTGTATACCCATTTTTATTGAAGCATTATTCACAATAGCTAAAACATGGAAACACCTCAGAGTGTCCAGTGACTGATAAATGCATACTCAAAATGTATATGCATATAATAGAATATTATTCAAACTTAAGGAAATTCTGATACATGCTACAACATGGATAAATTTTGAGTACATTATGCTAAATGAAATAAGCCAGTCATAAAAAGACAAATCCTGTATGATTTTACTTATATGAGATACCTAGTCAAAATCACAGAGACAGAAAGTAAAATGTTGGTTTTCAGGGGTTAAGGAGGAAGGGGAATGGGGTGATTGTTTAATGGGCACAGGGCTTCAGTTTTGCAAGAGGAAAAGAGCTAGGGAGGCAAGTGGTGGTGATGATTGCATATATTAATATACTTAATACCACTGAACTATACATTTAAGAATGGTTAAGTGATAAATATTGTTATGTGTATTTCATCACAGAAAGATCCAGTAGATAAAAAGAATAGAAAATAACACCTTGACCAGGTGATGAGGTTTACCAAGGGTTTATCACAAGAGGCAAGATTGGTATACTATTCATAAGTTAACTGATGCAAGTCACCATATCTACACACAAAAGAAGAAAAACCATATGATAATTTCAGTAGATGCAAAAAAAAAAACTGCTTTACAAACTTCTCATTCCTCATATCACTCACTCATTCCTGGTAAAACGCTCAGAAAATTAGGAGTAAAAGTGAACTTCCTCTACCTGCTAAGAGCATATAGGAAAAAACTACAAGTAACATCATACTTAATGGTGAAAGACTGAATGCTTTCCCCTAAGATTGGAGAGGAGCAAGGATGTTGGCCTCAGCAGTCTTCTTCAGCATTTTCCTGGAGAACCTAGCTAGTGCAATGAGGCAAGAAAAATAAATAGGCATACAGATTGTAAAGGAAGAAATAAAAATGTTTTTATTTGTAGATACTATGATTATCTATGTAGAAAATTCCGAATCTGCAAAAAAGTTGCTGAATCTAGTAGATAAGTTTAGCAAGGTCACAAGATACAAGGTCAATATATGAAAATAATATTTTTCTACCAGCAAACATTTTGAGCTTGAAAAGTTTTAAAAGTGATATTTAAAAGTTTTAAATACTTAGGAATAAAAATAGCAAAATATGTTCAAGATTTGTATGCTGAAACTACAAAATTGATGAGAGAAATCAAAGGAGATTTAAATTAGAGGGATGTACTGTGTTCATGGGATGGGTTAGAATACTCAATGTGAAAATGTCATTTCTTACCGAAGTGATAT